GGGTCAGCGTGAGGCTGCCTTTCTCGGGGGAAGGGTCTCCGCAAACTTGCTCTCCCTTCCAGGCTGCCAGGCCTTACCGGGCAGGTGCTAGACCACACCCTACCTGTGGAAAAGGACAGGTAAAAACAGAGGGGGTCTCTGAGACGGGGCTGCACCGGGTGCTCCCGGCCCCGTCCTGGGGTGGTGCTGGCTGCAATAAGCCACTCTTTCAACAGCGACGAAAAGACAATTCTCTAACCCAAATTTAACAGCCTTGCAAAGTCCACTTCTTCTGAACTTTGCCTGTCCAGTTTTGCCCTTAAAGCAAAGAAACTGAAGAACACTTCACTAAAGGTGGTAATCGTTTTTATCTCTTTCTGTTCCAAACAGCTCAATGACACCCGGAAAGAAGTTACAGGGTCTTGTGGCTGCTACAATCACTCCAATGACTCCTGATGGGTAAGTTGTCAAAGTTGCACTGATTACTGTTACCTTAGAGCCCTGTTTTCCTTCTTACTTGGACCTGATCAGTTTTGGTTTTGGTTTTTTAAATTGGATCTGTGATGGGACGGGTAAACTATTAGGTGGGTCGCACTAGCACTACAGTGGGATTGCTCGGCCTCCACATTTTCATGTTGCCCAGCAAGTGCTGCGGGTTTGGGTTTGGAAAGTTTGGATCATTCTCACATCTCTCTGCTGCTTTTGTAGGTGCAAATTAAATCATAGTAAGGTTATATGTGTAAAGTATTGCAGTATTTTTGTGTTTGTTAAGGAAAATCAGTCCTAGTTAAAAAAGAACTCGAGAGCTAGAAAATAATTGTCAAATTGTCTGATGTCCTTTTAGACTTTTCTTTACCCTAGCTGACTCATGCATGTATTCATGTGTGTATATGTGTGCGTGGAATTAGTCTAAACTAGAAGAAAATATTGCAAGGACTGCACAGTTCTGAAAATAACCCCAAATCAGAAGTTGAAATTTGGCCTTCCTCAAAGCAGTGATGGTAAACAGATGTCCTCTGCATCTTGATGTTGCAAGGCAGAGTTGTTTGGAGTCAGCAAAGGACCCTGAGCTTCTCTGATGGGGGATGTGTCAAGATCTGCGTGTGTTTCTGAGGGAGACAGTTCAGGTTTGCTAGGACAGTCCTCTGAAAGTGATCCTCTGCTTTTCAAAAGTGCTGTAAAGCATGGTACTGTCTCAGTGAGGGAGCTCATTTGTGTTAGTCACTGCTTCATTTCTTGCTTTAAAGGAAACTTAGTTCTGATTTCATTTTTTATTATTACTCAAGTTTATTGCAACATGGTATTTGGAGAGTGATCTGGGCCCGCTGCGTGAGTGCCTGGCCCTTATAAGACCTGTTCTGTGAAAGCAGCTATGAAATTTTGGGTAATGTCTGAACCCAGTCAAGGTCCCAGAATTGACTTCCAGACTATAGGGTTGGTTTGTATGTTTGACAAATGAAAACAACGGTGAAATGTTATACACTGATAAACAAAGTAAGTTTGTAAACCTAGAATTCAGTTTCCCCTGTTTGTCAGGGAAGTCTGTGGCTTGTCTCATCCTTTAATGAGAGAGGGGTCAAAGTCACATCCAGCAGATGCCATTTTGTGGTCTGGATCCAGCAGCTATAAGTATAGTTTAACTATTTGCCAGCACTTGCATGAATATCTTCGTGCTCTCAAGAGGACTCCTGTTTCCCTCAACAGTCAAAAAGGTTCGACTGCCTCTTGTTCTCTTGTATCTTCCCAAAAGAAGTCCTTTGCTGTGCTGAGCCTGCAGTAATTACCAAATGAGATAAAAGGTTGGAACAGTGAACTATTTGTCAGGAGGAAGAGAAATGGGAAGAAAGAATTCAGAACTGAACTGTTAACAGAAATGTTAAACACATGCTGAGGGTATCGTACTTTGGGATAATTTGTGTACAAATGTAAGACTTCAAAAATACATGGTTTTTTGTTTGTTTTCTTAATCTCTAAGTTTAAGATATCTGTGGGTGGAGATTTATGGTTGCTGAGGCTCTTAAGGTTGCTGTGGTTCCTTTCATTTCAGACAAATTAACCTTTCAGTGATTCGTCAATATGTGGATTATCTGGTAAGCGAGCAGAACGTAAAGAACGTCTTTGGTAAGTGTGTTTTTGACAGAAACTCTGTTATGCCTCTTTTGCCTGTGATACCTTACCTGATAAGAGCTGTAGCAGGAGGGACTGTGGATGTGAGATCATCCTAGACATTTATATTCACCAGTGGAGAAGGTGCAAGCGATACTTAAGGCATCTGCTTTTGCCTACACCCCATTTCTGTGTGGGGTAAAACAAGTGTTGGCTTCATACAGTGATGTTCCCAGAGATGAATGGATAATGCTGTGTTGGCAGAGAAGACTCAACTGAATGATTCTCCCCTTTGCCTGGGCAAGATACAATCATCTGATTAAAAAACATAGCTCAGGAGTCCAGGGAATTCAATGGGCTCATCAAAGCTGAATGGGCTGCTTTAGCAGACCTGTGGTGCACTGGGTGATACCGGGGTGGTCACTGTTCCCATCTCTCTGCTTCCATCTTGGGGACTGCTGCAGGGGCAGCAGGGATGGCTGGGTAAAGAATACAGCATCTGCTAAACCACTTTCGTTCACAGCCTGCCATAGTTAAGTAAGCTGAAGTCAGTGGTAAGATTTTGGTTCAAAACTTCAGTCAAAAGAGTGCCAAGACACAAAGCAGAGCGTGGCAGTGACTTCAGCTATCCTGTTTTAATCTGTTGTTCGTGACTGAACATACTTAAATCTTGTTATTTTCCAGGGGTGCTTTAACCTAGGTAGCACACATGGTTCCGCTTATGACAGAGACACCAAATTTCAGGTCAGGCTGTTTACTTGGAGTGGAGGATAGACTCTGCCAGTCACTCTGCCTGGCTAGCTGGGTGCCCCTTCATGCACTTGTCATAGCCTGACTCACTGTGGGGAGAAGGAGATGGTTTCTGCTGGGGAGGAGGAGCTGGGGTGCAATTTCCCAGTTTCAGCAGCTGATTCTGCCTCCTCCCACTGCTGATCCTGAAACACCCAGGTTTCTGACACAAGCATTTAGTGATAACACTGCAATCCCCAAGCAGATGCTGGTGCAGACCATTGCTATCTTAAAATCAGTTGGGGGGAAAATATTTCTGTTTAATATCACCAAAAGTGTCAGTTCTTTTCTTCAGTAAAACCAATGCATATGGGCCCGGCCTCAGAAAGTGTGTTGTGTTGTTGTGTTGAAACAGTGAATGGCACAACAGGAGAAGGACTGTCCCTTAACATCCAGGAGAGGAAGCAGCTGGCAGAAGAATGGGTGTGTCAAGGAAAAGATAAGTGAGTAGCTGAGAGTGAACAGGGGATTCCAGATCTTGCATTAGGATACAGGCGTGCCTGATTGCAAGGCTACATCTGCTGATGGCTGCTTTTTCTTTTTTTTTTTTTTTTGAGTATTTTGTGGATGGGCTTTGTTCCCCAGCTCCTTTATCATAGAAGTCTGTGCTTTTATTATTGCCAGTTAGCTGGTGTCCATTTCTGCTACCACAGAGCTTGTAAGAGTCCTTCTCTTTGGTACACTGAGGGGCAGGGGGACAAAAAAAGGGCTGTGCCCTTTGCTTATCCTTGAGAAGAAATAAAAGCAATCTGCCTATTTATATCCTATGAGCATTTCTGAACCTTTTAATATTTTAAATGGTTTAGTATGGGGGAAGCTGAGGTGTAAAGTGTTTTGATGCTTCCCTAAAGGTGCACAGTCAGTGGCAGAGGACGAGATTCAACCCGGATCTGCAGCTGTGTATCCAATTGCAGCTCCATTCTCCAGGTCTTGTACCTATCATAGTCTTGCACTGCTCACCACTGCCGTCGTCTTAGTTGCTATGTCAGAGGATGTGGAGAGGAGGAGGTGTTTGGGTGAAAAGGATAGTGAGCAGAAATAAACTGGTGTGAAGGCTCACAGTCGGTGTGGATATAAAGGAGAAACATAGAAATGGGACTGCTGGGCTGGAACCTGGGAGATTGTCTTGGCGGGAGCAGACAAGCAGTCGAAGGTGCTGCTGTGAGGTTGAACTCTTCTTGAGGTAGTTCTGCAGAGCAACAGGTTTAGAAAGCAAAGATGCTTTGATATCCTTTCGTTTTCTCAGCTTCCCCTGAAATCCTTAATGTCTTAAGAAAATACCTCAATTTGTCCCTCCTGAAAGCCTTACAAATACGACAGCAAGGGGTCACACATGATTCTTATTTGCAAATGTGTTTTCTTTTTTCCACAACCAGCTGCTTGCCACTGTTGGCATTTTTCCTGTGTGTCTGCTTGTCAGGTCAACACAGGTTCAAATCCCTTTTAGGTTTAATCTAGCTCAGTGAAGTTCTTGTTCTGTGGCTCCCCGATCTGAAGTGATTTGTTGTGGTAAACTGGTATTTTTCACCACCACTGAAACCTCCCCAAACCTTTTGAATTTGTTCTTGTGCAGATTGGATCACGTGATCATTCATGTGGGAGCACTGAATCTGCCAGAGTCCCAAGAGCTGGTGTGTATATGATATGATTCCTTTTCACTCGCTGTGTAATACATATAAAACAGATGCACCTTGAGATACTTTCCATTCTCTCGTTTATAGGCAAGACACGCAGCAGCCATAGGTGCTAGTGCTATTGCTGTAATAGCTCCCTTCTTCTTCAAACCCACAAACAAAGGTGAGTAGATTTGATTGCCAGGCCTGCTGAGGCCCTTTTATATTGCCCTCCAAACCTTCATCATAGATACAGGATTAATGCCATCTTCTTTCTCTGGAAAGTACTCTGGTGATAACGTTCGCACACCTGTTGGGTCTGGTGCTATGCAAAAGCAAATTCTAGAAGGAAGCCTTTTTAAAAATGGGAAATCCTAGAATTCTCTCAGCCAGACATGGGAGGGATGTCTTTTGGCATGTATTTTGTTAGCCTCCTGCAAAAAGAAAATTTTCTTATGGGAAGAGTAGTTAACTAGTTTGTCTTCCGCATGGATAGTATGGAGTTCATGCTTGATCTGGGCCACACTAGGAAGCAGTTGGTTCCATGCTGACCCTTGCTGGACACTGACCAAGTTGATAAACTGCTGATACGCAGGCGTGCCTCTTGTTACTGAGATGATCACGTTTGGTTCTGTGCACCTAAGGTAACCTCAGAACCGATAAACTGAGTGTTTTGCTTTTAATATAACGAATGTAATATAAAAGAATCATATGAAGTGGAGGTTTGTAATAGAAATGTTCAAAGTTGCCTGAATGAATTATGAATGGAAATCTTCATGTGAAAGCACCAGAAGAAACTGGAGTGGATTGCCAGAATGGCTGGTATTGATGGCCAAGGACACAATTGGTGGCAATCAAACTGGTAAGCACAGAGGAACAGCACAAAGATGAGCAGAAGGCCTCGCTGATAGTAGTAGGATGGCAGTGAGATTACATAGAATCATAAGGTTGGAATAGACCTCTGAGATCATCAAGTCCAGCTGTTGATCTAATACCACCATGCCCACTAAACCATGTCCCAAAGTGCCACATCTACACCTTTTTTGAACACCTCCAGGGACGGTGACTCCACCATTTCCCTGGGCAACTTGTTCCAATGTTTGGCCACTCTTTCAGCAAAGAAAATTTTCCTAATGCCCAAACTAAACCTCCCCTGGCACAACTTGAGGCCATTTCCTCTTGTCCTGTTGCTAGTTACTTGGGAGAAGAGAGCGATCCCGACCTCGCTACAACTTCCTTTCAGGTAGTTGTAGAGAGCAGTAAGGTCTCCCCTCAGCCTCTTCTCCAGGAGGAGAACGCTCCATTTCAGCATGTTGCTTTTTGCCATTCCTCTTCCTGCTGTGCCAGTGGGAAGATTGCCTAAGATGGATGCAGTGAACAAGACTCTCAGGAGGAATGTCAACCATAAGAACCCTTTGATTCCTAAAACAGTACCAAAAAATGCCCAAAACCCTGTGAATCATTGCCACTGAGCAGTACCCCAGGAAGATGAATGTGAACTTGATCCCTTGTCCTCTGTGTTGCACGCAAGTGATCCTGCTGAGACCACTTTGGCACACAGGTCTTCCATGTGTGAGAGCATGCATGGGTTACATCTGTAAGAGAATGAGCGTGAATTACTGAAATGGGTTTGGTTTTAAATAAATGTCATCTTTGCCTTCCCTAAGGCCACGGAGTTTTGTTACATTTAATTTTTTTATGATGTGTGAAGGTTTTTCCATCACTCACTGTGTGTGTGTGATACACAAGCTGTAGATGGCCTCTCTACAGCCCCTGGCTGCTGTGAATCTGAACTGTCTTTCTCTGTGGATAGTCTCCTTCTCTTACGGGGGTATTTGCTTGTTTTCTTCTAGATGAGCTTATCGCTTTCTTACAGAAGATTGCGTCTGAAGCCCCTGCAGTTCCATTTTATTACTATCACATTCCTTCTCTGACAGGGGTGAAGAGTAAGTACTGCTTAGTCAGCTCTTCCTGAGCCTGTAGGCTCATAGCAACCTGAGTAATCACACACATATGGCTGGTGTGATTAGTGTACCAGCCTAAACCAGGCATGTAGTCTCTGCCTCTGTCACATGCAAGCTGTAGTGGAAAGGATCCTTTCTGAAAATAGGAGGTGAGTCCAAGACTGGAAAATAAACAGAATTCTTCTTCATTGGAAAAAAGTCAGGGGTTATAAGTACTGAACAACTGGGATGAAGGAGGTGATGCTGACCATGGCTTTGCAGTTAGTGTGGATCAGGATCGGCAGTTGCCTTGGATAACCATAGTTGCATCCTGGTCTTTTTGCAAAATGGTTACCACCATCTCGCTTGGTTTACACTGACTGCATAGTCATGTTTGCTAGTAAATGACGTGTGACACCACAGTGCTTTAGCAGAGGAACGAGGAATAGAATACAGCTCTTCAGTTACTTGCTCTAGACAGCAGCTTATGTGGCGTTTCTGGATGGATGAATTTATATTTATTCTTAAATATGTTGTTGCCGGTTCATTCCTAAACTTTCGCTTATCCAGGGTTTTTCCCTTCTGATCTGGTAAAAACAATGCTTCAAAGAGGGCAGAAAGATGTCTTTTGGATAACTCTGGGAAATAATCACACTGAAGTTGTCTTACTGATTGTTTTAGAGCTATATAGTTTACTGGGCTTAGGCCAAAAGTGAACAACTTGTAAAATAGTAAGTCTCCCTCTTAGGGACAAGACAGGGAAACCTCCCAGAATAGGGATGTGTTTCTTCATGTGAGACTGCTGTTCTGCACAGTTCGTGTTGAAGAGCTGCTGGATGGAATAAAAGAGCGGATCCCCACCTTCCAGGGTGTGAAGTTCAGCGACACGGACCTCTTGGACCTTGCACAGTGTATAAACAAGAATGAGAGAGAACAGTTTGCATTTCTTTATGGGGTGGATGAGGTAAGAGACTCCTCTTAAAACATATTTCTTCTATGGCATTCTCTTGGATTCCCTGGACATTCAGTTCCAGGTAGTTTTGCTGCTCCCTCCCACCCCCCTCTCCCTTTTTTTATTTTGTTATGTGAAGTAAATTTTTGTTTTTTCTCCCCCCCACCCCAAACTAGCAACTCTTGAGTGCACTGGCAATAGGGGCAAATGGAGCAGTTGGAAGGTCAGTATGGCTTGGACTCCTTCCCCTCGACACACACACACTGCATTGTTGTATCTTCCACTATCTACACAGTATTTCTCTGACTGTCTTCTGTCACCACAACAGAGGATTTTGGAGGGTAGGGCTGTACGGTAGCAGGCAGACAGATAAGCTGGCTCCAGTGCTAGCGATGGGACAGTCCTATAACCTGGGATCTCTGATTATGTTTGTTTGGGTGATTATTGCTGCAGTTTGTAAGCTGACCCAAAGGTTTCCACATACTTCTTTATCCTCACGGCAACTTTTTGAAGTAGGGAATCACTTCATTATATGGGTAAGGAACCAAGCCCCAGAGAGGATAAAATCGTTAGTTCTCATGATAAGTCTGTGAGGAAAAGGGCTCTGCTGAGTTTAATTTCTGATTTGTCTTCTGCCCCTCATACCAGGCTGCTTAGATGGATTACTGTGTGGTATCTGTGTTCTTGTGTAGATGGTCCATTAAATGGACAAGCAACTGGAAAATTAAGAGATTGACTTTCCGTATTGCCTAATTATGTCTTTTTAATTTTGAAAAGCAGTTCCATTTGGAAAGAACTGGAAAGAGAAATCTGCTCTCTAAATTCTTCCGTAGGGTTTGACATACTTCAGATGCTTGACAGTGTACACCACATATAGATTGCATGAATCTCTGTCATAATAGTGGCATTCTTATAATGTCAACAGCAAAAGCCTGTGGCTACTTCTTTTGTTGCAGTGGTTCTAAGCTCCTCCTCTGCATTTACCGATTCTATTTTTGGTTTGGGTTTTTTTGGCAGTACATACAACTATTTGGGCCAAAAAACCAATCTGATGTTGCAAGCCTTTGCAAAGCCAGACCTTGCGTTAGCACGGAAGTATCAGGTACAGTATCCTCACTGTCCCCACTAGAAGCAGCCTGCTTTCTCCTGTAGCTTTACTGGGGCTGTTTTCCATGTAGTTTTGTCATCCATACCCTGAGGTAGCTTTATAGAAGCAAACTTCTTTTTGCTCCCCTGCTTGTCATTTATATCTCCTCACCTTTTTGACCAGTCCTTACTAACTTTTGATCAAGATCTGCCTTACTTATCCTTCAGCTCTCTAATCTCATCTATGCAGAGTGTGCAATGGCCTGGCCTTTTTTCTTGGGCAGCTTGAAGATTTGTGAGGAGTTCTGAGCAACCAGGATACAGTCTGTACCCAATGGTTTTATGGGACATTTGAGGCATCCATCTTTTGCCTTAAAACAGAAGTGACTGCAGAATGCAAGTCTAAAAGATGTCTGAAAGATGATCTGCTCTGGGAAATCTCTTCACTAGCCAGTGGAATTCGAATTTGTAAATGTTTAGAACTCAAAATGAGACTAATCAGTGTTCTCAGACTGCTTGCAGTGAGGAACAGCTTGAACATGAGTGACAGACTAAGAGGGAGTGATGGTTTTCTTGTATCCCTCCCTCCCCTATTCCAATGGAATTCAATTAGTATTTCCCATAGACTGGCCAGGTGGCCAAGGGCCTTTCTCAAAGCTTTGCAACAATTGGATAAAATGTAAATATCGTAATGGCTCTAGATACTTTTACATCTTAAAGTTTGAAGGAGTTAAAACTACTGTCTGTCTTCTCTAGTTTCTCACTGGGGAATTCCTGAATTTTGTCATCAAACTAGGTAAGTCCTGCACTGCCTGTTTCCCTTGTTATGTCTAAAAATGCAGACTTGGTGCTCCAGAAACTCTGATATTGCTGTACCCTGAGAACTTCTTCCTGAAAGATTTTGCAGTGAGAAAATGTTGCTGTTTCCCTAGTTAGTAGCAGCTGGGAGCTCAACAAAGGAAGCTGACCAAGCATCCTCAACAGATTCCACTCTCACTTCCTTCCTCCTTCTGTGAAATCTCACAGCTTTAAAGCTGTGACTCTGTGATTTACCCTTTTTCTTATCCTGACTCTTTCTGTAAGTTGTTGGTGTTTTTTTTTTTGTCCTGTCTCCAAAAGCTCATTTCTAGCTTTGTTTCTACAGAGTCATTTTTCTGAAATGGTGGTGCTCCAGTAGGAAAATGGATATAATTTAAGAGTAACTCTGTTCAAGGCTGTACAGGGCCAAAGTGTTTTAAAATTGAATGACTTTTAGAAACAAAACCAAGTTTTAGTATAAAAAAGCAATTAAAACCAACGAAGTTGGAGTACTGCAGGGAGACTGAATCGGACATTTCATGGTTTTCACTTAGTGAAAACGTAGTTTTTGCTATAGGTACGCAAGCCCCAATGAATCTAGCTGAGCTTTAGTGCTTGGTTTAAAAGTCAGAGGAAATGCATAATTATTTAGCCTTATCGATAAAGAGGCAGACACTGAATTTCCAGAAGTACATAAGAAGACTTGTGCTATGGACAGAACCTGAAGGTTCCCATGTTGTTTTAAGCTGGTACCAAATGTCATTGTCACATGCCAGCAGGATGTTACTGCTCCCAGTGTTTGGCTTTATGTGAGTGCATCGGGGGATAGCTGCGAGGCTGCCAACATTGGGCTGCTGTGATGGCGAATTGGCTGGGATAGCTCAGCCTACCAGCGAAGGTAAAATCCAAGTGGCCTGATTTTTGCTTGTTTTACCTATGGAGGACTCACACTGTCTCTTCTGTGGTCAGGGCTGCATGGCAGTACATTTTGGCAAGGAGAAAGGAACACACGTATAGCCCTGGTTGTCTGTAAAACTGACACAGTCGTTTGTAAATGCATGCCTAAGAATATACTCTGCTTGGTATCTTTAGGAGGGAAAAAATAATGGTATAGAAATACATGTAATAAGTAGGCATAAATTTTACTGTAATGTCTTTCCTGTCTGCAAGCACAATCCTCTCTTTTTAGTTACACTGCTCTCACTTCTCGAGAAGTGCTCAAAGCGTGGCTCATGCTGGATTACACAGGAACTCTGTGCTGCTGCTTTTTTGGATGCCTGCATAGAGACTGCTTTAAGCAAAATGAACTGTAAATGTCCTGATTTTGCTTTTGTCCACCCAGGTTTTGGTGTTGCACAGACTAAAGCTGTAATGACTTTTGTTTCTGGTATTCCCATGGGACCTCCACGGCTTCCGCTTGTTGATGCTTCTGAGGAGTTCATCGTCCAGGCCAAAGCCAAGCTGGATAGCATTGTGTGGCCTGATGGCAATTGATGTTCATGTCCGTGTCGATCTGGAAGTGGAGGCTCCTTTTCTGGGATTAACTGTCACGGGGCGTGTTTCCCACTTGATGGGCTGTGATTTCTTTCAGGGAATTGGCGATGCACCTGAGCCCCTTCCTGTTAGGGCTGGCCTTGTTGGTGCACATGTAGCCGCTTTTTTTGCGTAACTTTACTCTGCTCCCTTGGAGCACTGCACGTCCCAGCACTAGCTGGATCTTTTAATAAAAAAGGCAAATTTTCCCCAATTGGAGGATAACGACTTATTTTTGTCTAGAGAAGAGGAAGATCTGTCTGCACTCTCCCTCCAGCTAGATTATGTTTTGTCTTCCCCCTTTGTGAGCGCTACACTCTGTGTTTAAATGATGGAATCACACTGTCCGGTTGCTTAGACCTGTATCTTACTGTACTGTTTGTCAGAATCACTGGGACATTGACTATGCATGTAAAACCCTGCTTTTGTCTTATCTCACTGTGTTTATACACCCCTACTTAATGCAAAATTAAAAAACCACTTTTGCAACAGAAAGTTTTTGCCTCTCTAATAAGCAGGTATTTCGCCATCTTTTTCCTTACAACAAAAATAAAGCCACAATAGAGCTATACATCTCTGTATTGCAATGCAGAATACGGTCTCACAGGTTAGAAAGTCACCTACTGTCAGTTTAAAAGGTGCTCTTTTGCACCCTGGACTTAACCTCTCTCCACGAGCTTGAGCTCTTACTGTCTGATCGTACGTGTCACTGACAAATATGAGGTTCCATGCCCTCCATGGCTGTGCCTGTACCTCCTGAGTGCTGCCACCTGCAGAAATGATGGAAAGAGGGAAGAGAGGGGTAAATGGGGAGGTGTGCCCCTAACTTTTTGTAACACTAGAGTGTGAAAAAATCTACTACCTTCCTCTCACTGCGTAGCCATTGAACAAGAAATACACATGAATAAAGGATTCCTTTCTCCCTTGAATTTGTAAAAAGTTTAGGGAAGCTTGCCTTTGTCAGGTCATGGTAAGCGAGCAGAACCAGCCCCGGGTGCTGTGGGTGCTCGCCACGCACTGCGGGGCAGGAGCGGCCGAGGACCGTGGGCAAGCGCGCTGCCGTGCCTGCGGAGCCCCCCTCCCCCCTTCCTATTAAAAACAAATCTGAACGCTGCCGTGCTCACTGGGACCCACCGAGTGTTCCAGTCCAGGGAAACGGGGCGCGGGCAGGGGGCGAGCTCTCCTGACAGACCCCAGGGCTCTGCTCCGGCCTACGCCCCGACACGTCAGGGAGCGCTCTGTGCCG